AAAAACGGGTCTTTAAATCGAAAGCGGGCAAAAACCATTGTGATATTCGGAATCAGCACGTTCGATTACCTATTGTCAACTGAGTTTAAGCTCAAAAGCGAGGAGGCAGTTGGTGGCCTTCCCTCGTCAGCTGCTCTACCATATCAACTGCAGTGTCTCTTTGTAGCTCCCTACTGTTTATTTAGAAATAACGATAACCATCGTTTTATTAGTCAGAATCTGCTACCGTTCCATCCTTCAATGTTATGAAGGTCAGATCAATACTATAACAGTTTATCATCTACCAACTTACGACCTATAGATATCAAAACCGCTTTTATTCATTAGACAGCTTTATTTTCGTTTCTAAATACAGTTTTCTTAAGTATATGTCATCATCTTCATATATACATTGCTTACTTGCTCAGCAATATGGTTCCATGTGAAATAACCATTCACTCGCTTTAGACCATTGTTACCCATATACTCACGCAGTTGCGTATTGTCTATCAGTTCGGTGATCTTACTAGCGAGTGCATTAGGATCTTTGGGGGCAACCAATGCGCCAGTTTCACCATCCACAATTGTATACTTAATCCCACCAACATTAGCCCCAATAACTGCGGTTCTGCAGGCCATTGCCTCAAGCACTGTAATTCCGAATTGTTCGTACCAGGGTGTGGTAATAAATATGTCAGCTGCCGAGTAATAAAACTTAAGCTGCTCGCGATTCTTTCTGCCTACAAAACTAATTGATGTTTCCAGGCCGTTTTCCCGAGCTAGTTGTTGCAAGCGTCTCGTCTCCGCACATACCGTCGGGTTTCCGTTGTCGCTTTCGCCACCTACAACTATCAAATACACCGATTGCGAATCTTTTATTTTTAGTCGACTCAATGCATGTATCACATTATCAATACCCTTCTGTGGTACCATACGGCCCAATAGTAGTAAAATATGCCGGTTAGTGTTGATATTAAGCATTTTACGAGCTACAGCTTTCTCTATCGGATAAATCTCATCGGGATTGAAGCCGCCGGGTATGATAACAATTTTGGAGGATGGCGCATTGTAATAATTCATTAAATCTTCACGCTCCTGTGGACATTCTGCTACAATATAATCAGCCTGTTTAACCACATCTTTCTCTATTTGCAATCGCTCTTCCAAAAATCTAATATCAGTACCATGGTGTAAGCGCTTTACATGACCAAGTGAATGAAAAGTTACTACAATAAATGGAATATTTAATAAATTCTTTAATTGCACTGCAGCCATGGCCGACATAAAGTAATGTGCATGAATAAGTTCATATTCCAACTTTTGTGTACAAATAAAATCAAATATGCTCTGTGTAAACTCTGCTATACAGGGCAACAATTCTTCTTTGGGTATTACCATTTGTGGCCCAGCTTTCACATGTATGACGCTTACACCTGGACACCATTTAACCACTAAGGGCAGTGTAGCATTCTCCCAACGCGTAAACACATGAATCTGGTAACCTCTAGCTGCCAATGATTTTGCTAGCTGTCCTACATAAACATTCTGTCCACCTGAATCAGCGCCGCCTAACGATGCAAGCGGAGAACCATGTTCACTGATAAAAGCGATTCTTGGTTGGTGATTCATTGAGATGGCTGCCAAAAGATAATCTAGCTAAAAAACTGCGTGACTAAAAATCATAGGATCAATTCAGTAGAACTGATTTAACAGATATCTGTATGTTGAGAGCAGCAATGAAAAGTCGGTTAAAATGTGTCTAATGTACTAACAGATGCAGCATACATTAGTAATCGCTAAACATCCATTATTTTTAATGTGAGTCGACATACAACAGAAAATAAAACAAGCAATAAAACTGTCAAAATAAGATAAATGAGGTGATTTCCACTGGTGTTAGTTCCATTTTAAGAAGGATTTGATCGATTCATGTGCACCATCCATGTATACATATATATACTAAAAAGAAGAAATGGGAAGTTACATATTTTATCATTGTTAATATCACCGGAACAAAAAAAATAAAGTTGATTTAGAGTTTCTGAAAAGTGATTTTTCGTATGTAGCACACTCCATAACCCAGAAGATTTTCTATTTTTGGCTCGGGATACTTCAGAAAGTTTAAGGAAAATTTGAAACAAAATGACGCAAAAAGTTTTCCATGGATAATATTAATTTGAAAACTTTTCCTAAACTTTCGGAAATACCTCGGGCCAAAAACAGAAAATCTTCTGGGTTATCGAGTGTGCTGAATACGAAAAACCACTTTTCAGCAACTCTAAACCAACTTTATTT